ATGGGAATCCTGGGGGCCCCCGGATGGGGCTGTCAGGCTGAACAGTCCCCGGCCCCCACCTCCTCAGTGAACTCGGGGAGTCAGAGGCTAGGTCTGAGAGACGCAGTCTCAGGAGGGCGGAGGGTGGCTCCCAGATCCTGTAGGGTGTCAAGGTGAGGACACAGGAGACTGAGGACCCCAGAGAATCCACCTCTGGCACCCCCACCTGCCCCAGACAACCCTGGGAGACTCCAGGGCACTGGGTCCGGATGTCACGTGCACTGATGCCCCACCCTTGGGAGGTGAGAGAGGTGAGGTCCTGGGTGAGGGAGGCCGGCTTCAGGTCTGCACAGGGAAGGAGCCCAGTGCTGCCAGGAGTCAAGGTAGAACCGTGTGAGGGGACGCGGGGGCGGGGGCAGGCATCCAGGTCGGTTTTGCGGTCACCCCTGGGAGACCCCAGGCAGGGTTGCGAGGATCAGATCCCCACCCCCTCATCCCCACTTCCCTCTCGGGGGTCCTGGCTGTGGAGGGTCGGAGTACAATGGGATTATAATCTGTTGGGCAGAGGGAGAGGCCCAGGCCCAGGCCCAGGCCCAGCCGGGAGCGCAGGTGGGGAGCAGAGGGAGGGCTGCGGGACCCCCGGGGAATCCATCTCAGCCCCTGGCGTCCACAGTTCTGGGAAGCCCTGGGCCTGGTGGCCTCATGTGAGTCCACAGACTCCTCTGGGGGTCTCAGGGCAGTGAGGGCCTTGGTGTGAGGGTGTGGGCTCGGGTCAACAAGGGGGCGTCCCAGGACCCGGCCAGGGCTGAAGCTGAGGACGCTGAGGGAGGATAGAAGGGGCCCCACAGATCCCCGGCCCTGCTGTCAGCCCTGGGAGGGCCAGGGTGGGATGAGCACTCGTGGGGTCCTGACTTCCTGACATCCGGGTCTCGGAGGGACTGGGGTCCTGGGATGAGGGGCGGGGCCTCGGGGGTTCCAAGGGGAGGCTACATGCCGCCTGAGTCAAGGTGAGGACCCCGAGGGAGAACGCAGGGATCCTGCACCCCGGGACAGTGTTGGACCTTGGAGGCCACAGGGCAGGGTGACCACCGGCGGCATTTCCTGACACCCGGGTCTCCGAGGGACTGGGGTCCTGTGATGAGGGGCAGGGCCTCGGGTGGCCAGAGGGGAGACCACATAACGCCTGAGTCAAGGTGAGGACCCCGAGGGAGAACGGAGGATTCCTGCACCCCAGGACAGTGTTGGACCTTGGAGGCCTTGGGGCAGGGTTAGCACTGGCTACATTTCCTGAAATCCGGGTCTCAGAGGGGCTGGGGTCCTGGAATGAGGGGTGGGGCCTCAGGTGGGCTGAGAGGGGAATCCCAGGACCTGCCAGGAGTCAAGGTGAGGCACCTAAGGGAGGAGTGAGGGGTCCCGAGACCCCAGAACAGAGAGGACGTAACCGATCCTGCCCCTGCTGACAGCCCTGGGAGGGCCTGGGTGGGATGAGCACTCGTGGGGCCCTGAATCCTGACATCCGGGTCTGCGAGGGACTGCGGTCCTGGGATGAAGGGAGGGGCCTCGGGTGGCCAGAGGGGAGACCACATGCCGCCTGAGTCAAGGTGAGGACCCCGAGGGAGAACGCAGGGATCCTGCACCCCGGGACAGTGTTGGACCTTGGAGGCCACAGGGCAGGCTGAGCACCGGCGGCATTTCCTGACATCCGGGCTCTCCGAGGGACTGGGGTCCTGGGATGAGGGGCGGGGCCTCGGGTGGGCAGAGGGGAGACTACATGCCGCCTGAGTCAAAGTGAGGTCCGTGAGGAGGACGGAGGGGACCCGGGACCCCAGAAAAGAGGCCATCCCATCCCACAGAAAAGCACCCCTGCTCTCAGCCGTCTTGAGGCCCCAGGGCGGGATGAGCCCACAAGGTGTGTCCTGACTTCTGCATCCGGGTCTCAGAGAGACCGGGGACTTAATGCAAGTGGGGGGTCGGT